CAGACCATGCTTGGTCTGGGGATGAAGGGAGTACTGAGAAAGGAGGCCACCATTTCTCTTTCCACTGAAGCAGAATCACAGCAGAAGCTCTCCAATTTGCTGTTTAGGGATTATCCCTAAATGACTTTAAACTGATTTCAAACTACTTGTCTCTGAAATACAGTTTTCTGCCTGTGGCTGCCTGAGCTAGACCATTAAACAAATCTATCAGGAAAAATGCATCTTAGCTAAGCATAGTTTTTTGCCAAATATCTTAAATCCTAGGCTATCCTATTCCTTCTGTCCCTAATCCTCTTGCATGACCTCACACCTAAGCCAGAATGGTATCACTCTACAGGACATCCAGGATACATACATCCATTTTAAGCCAGTGTGAAGCGATTCGCGTAACTCTAGCTTATAAGAAATGCTCCCACAGTCAGTTTAAATACTGAGTAGAGCTAGTTCACTTCTGCCTAAAAAAGGTCCAGATGCAAGCAAATCACTGAATGACTTTGCTTATTTTTTGATACTCTGGTACTGCTATGCCCATGAACTTCCTCAGAAGTGCCTTCTAAACACAGGCTTGTAGAAGACCGGAAAAAACCTCTCAAGCTGGCAGACAGAGAAGACTTAAAGTGAGTGACATTCCTCTTTTCACCTCAAGACAACCCTGTTGCTAGCAGCAAGATGCATCCTAGCGACACCGCAATACTCCCAAATCATGAAAGGAGGCAATGACCACAGCAACACCGCTGGATGCCACCCCTGCCACAATGACAGCCCGGCTCCTGGAAGTCTCAGCAGTTTGACTGACGTACCTGCACTTTGCACTTCCACTCCCAACTGTTGCATAAAACTGGTGAGTGCTGTTAAGTAGTTACTTCCCTCCACAAATAAGAGGCCTTTATACACGGTAATAATGTTTTTTCATCTTCATAACACAGAACAACATTTCCAAAGCCCATTAGCAGCCCTTCTGGCTGACAGGCCTACTCAAGAGAGAACCATCTCAGCTACCCAGGTCTTTCAGCGAATAGGTGCAAGGTTCCTACCTTGTGTAGCCCAGAAAATGCTGACAGGTGCAGAAGTCACATCTCTGCTCTTTACCCAGCTGTTGTTGCGGTGCCGACTCCACGCAGAGATAACACAGAAATAATCCCCTCTGTCACTTTCTGAAGTCCACTGGATTCGTAAACTGAAGGTGTCAACAGCCTTTTTAGAGAAGATTATTTCCCCATTCTGAGTCCGCTCTCTGCTCCTGTCCCCAAGCAGCAGAGTCCAGTCTGCATCCATCGTGGCCAGGAGTTCCTCTGCCACCACATCGTCACTGCGCAGTCGCGGCCTGTAGTACCAGGAAACCGTGAAGCGGATATTTGCTTCGGTGTCTTGTGCATTTGTGATCCTACAGTTGAGCTCTGTGGGGTCATCTGAAAACTTGGGTGTTTTAGAGGCGTTCAGAAATACCTCATAGTCTGGCTCTGCAGTAGAGGAAATCCAGAAGAAACAGGTTAGAAGCTACAAGCAGTATAGAGAAAGTGCCAGAGCTTATTATGAGATACTGCGAACTTCTAACACCCAGTCTGTGAAAGCACCTGAGCTGGAAGCCAAGTGCCAGAATATGCATTTTTCTTACAAGACCTGGGGGCTGGGAACTTGGACTCCAGTTCGCAGGCTTGCACCAGTCTGACACAATTATGCCTAGGCCTACATTTCCAAACAAGACCTTTCGTTTTGGGTGTTTAGTCAGACCATTTCTTAAAAATCATTCCCTTCTATAGGCCTGGCCCCAAGAATCCACCATGTGGGTTCAGTTTCAGTCCAGCCAGGCACCTTTTGCACCTGTCCAAATGCCTGGGGCAGCCTGCAGCAAGAGGAGACTGGCTATTCTCTAGCTTTGCACTGACCAGACACATCCCACTTCCCCAGTTCCTCTCCAGGATAAGAGGCCATTTCCCAGCCTGAAATGCCTTCTTTTCCACACTTCGCCATCCCATCATGTCTCTACAATACTGTTAAAGAATATTAGAAAACAATCCAAAATCCAAACACTTCACCCAGTCACCAAAACCAGGGGGCATGGGTACCACCACTGGCACTGGCCACGGGCAGCACCAACAGCAGTGCACAGTAAATTTCAGCAGGCAGCATAATAAATACCAACTAGGTTAAGAACCAAAAACGCATAGATCAGAAGAGCTTCACAAGTCTGAAGAATGAAGTACATGCTGTACAGCCCTGAGGCTGGAATACCTCAAGCTTGAAAAGGAGTGCCTGAAATGCATGGGTTAAGAATAGGGCTGTTGTATTTAAATCTGAAATAGCTGGCTGTCCAAAGCCTAAAAGCGATAAGGCAGCCACATGACTACTTTCTCTCAGACTACAGAGATAGTAAAGGAAAAAGATTACAGCAAGAACCTCACACCACAAAGGAAATACATATTTATTTACTAGCGTTAGAATATTTTTCTGTCTTGCTGTCTACTATAATTCAGAAAAAAGACTAGCTTTCCAACTGTTCAGCCAATACTCATCACATGGCTTTTACATTGTAAGTGTATTCATCGCTCTATATTTATTTCTTGCTTTATGTTTTATTTGGCATTTTGCCCTCCTAGAAACAATTAACCAAAGCTATAATTGGGACAGAGCAGGCAATCTAAGGCTAAACTTAGGCTGAGCTCACCAATGAGCCAAGATAATAAAGCATCTTAATAGAACTGCTGTGCAAACTGTGTGCACACATGCGCTTTTGGACTTCAGATGCAAAGGATAAAAACAATTGTATCAAGCAAGCTGGCTGCTATGTCAGCTCGCAGAAGAGATCTCTCGCCATTAAGTGTTATGCATGCAGTGTCCTTGCATCTAGCAAGAACAAGGGCATTAATACACACCAGGCACTAGAGTACCTAGTGATACTGATGCTGAGTTTCTGCAGTATTAGGTAACACACAAGCATAAAAGTACTGTTTACGTAAGTCTGTAGTACCGACAACCAGCAAACCTGTGCAGATTTCTGCACGTTTTCAGTGTAAGTAAGGCATAATAAAATGCATAGAATTCCTCTGCTGTAACCAAGGCATAGATTATTAATGGTGGCCAAACCCCACTTTTGGTGTAAGCCCCCATAGATCCTACAGCTACACTACTCTTCCTGTCTCAGTCACAAAAGACTAGTCTTCTTCAGGGCCTCGTGACACACTGCTCACACTCTGCAATTTTCTCATCATTCCCCCTCGCCTCCCCCCCTCCCCCCCCCAAAAAAGAAGGCATTCGAGACCAATTGATATTTTCGCAGGAATAAAGACTGTGAAAGCAGAAACTCTTCTCTAGACAGGAACACAAGAAGGAAGAAGCTGCAAGAAACTCGAGTTCTTAGAAAATCACTTCAGGTTTGTTTTATTTGTGGGCAGGGGAAGGACTGCTAAGAAGAGAGTTTTGGCTTTGACAGCACCACTCCAGATAGGCGCTTCACCCTGACAGACACTCAAACAGAGGATTTAGAAAGAATAAAAGGCTGGCTGGATAAACCTCATTCCTCCAGTCTGTCAGCTGTCAAAGAACAGCCTCACTGACAGTTCAATGACTTAATACTCCAGCAGCTCTTAACTTCCATTAAGGAGGAGGAGTCGCTGAATTCTGGATGCAGTTGAAAACCTCAAATGCTGAAAATTCATTCTACTTTCCCTTGCCCTAGCAACCAAGCATCTGCTGAAGAGCAGATTTTATTCTCTCCAGTTCCCAAATAATACCAAATTGGAATGGAAAGAGTAAGGAATAGTCCTGCAGGTACGGGCACTACGAGAGAGTACATGAGCGTGCAGTGCACCTGCGCATGCACGAACACATGTGCACACGTGCACATGCACACAAGTCAGGGGAGGAAGGAACACTCACAAGTTGAATGTGCAATTTGAATGGCTGAATGAGGTACAGGAAATCAAGACATTCATCACTTGTGCACTTCTAGCACACATTACAAGCATACTTGAGAACAGCCACGGCTCAACTGCTCTGTACAATGCTAAAATGCAACATTTAAAGTCATTGTCACTCGGATTTAACCTTGTGACATAGCTATTTATTTCTGAAAACCAGGCTTCAGAGCAGGCTCTCTATATGCTGCCTCATTCAGTACTTTTATGTTGGAGGAGCTCTGCCTTTGTAACCAGTACCACCAGGACTTTGGGCAGTACCACCCGTTTCTGACAGCAAGAGGTGCATGGAGAGTTTAAGCCACATACTTGCATCCAGTCAAAGCTGGGAACAAACACCAAGTACTACAGCTCTGCGAGCTCTCCCCCAGCTCATATCTAGGGTTCAATTCATGCTTCCAACACAACCAATACTTTGTGAATTTCAGCAGGTGCAGATACCTTACCTACAGCATCCTGCAACACCATCCTGAGTTTCATTGCTTGTGAATTGAAGCTGTCTCCCCAAGATTAAACTAGGAGACAGGATGTGTAGGCTGACATATCTAGACCTATCCCTAAAACAACAGGCCTTTTAGAAGTTTTGCTGGAGTTTCATTTTTACTATTTCTCCCAAGTAACTTACTTCTAAGGATATTTGCATAAAGAGAGATCTCCACAGCTGGGATAATGCGAAGCAAAAGCTTTACAATCTGCAGCATGCATATGAGACTGTGGATCTCCAAAATAGATGTGTCTAGCAAAAAAAAAAAAGGGAAAGATACTGTCAGCCTGCTGTTGTAGGCCAAGTAGATCAGATAAGCCTGTTGAATCTGTTACCTACAGCTTCTGTTGCTCATTCAGTCAACCAGTCTTAAATGAACTGTTAAACACAGCTGCTTGTAACGAGCCCCTTCCAAAAAAAAATGTGAACATTGACAGTATTGGAGCTGTAAGAAGGGAAAACCACCAAAAACAACTGGGGGATGAAGGAAGGAGAGAGTAAAGAGATCATCAAGTAGATTGGGTTTTTTCCCCCCACTGGTGAATTAAAAGAACTTGCTGCAGAAATGCTGAAGTAACATATGGAAGCTGTAACTTCAAGTGCACAAATAATTCTTTGCTTGTCCAAAAGGCTAAAAACCCACTCATCTCTAGGACCAAATGATGAAAAATGCACCATACTGAGTGGGATGTTAAATACCGCAGGAAAATCCCATTTAGTGGCCACTATGCTAATCAACACTACTAGCATTAAATGAGCCACAAACCAGGTCTCTCTCACTCAGTCACACTACTCAACAGCTATGTCACATGGTCTTGTAAAATGGACTTCTGTGTTGAAGGAGGAGAATAAAGCAGTATAAAGTCATGTTCCATTCTAAATCCATCATTAGGATGTGGTGTCTCTCTAGTGATTAAAGCGACAAAACAAAACCCCAACACCTTTGAAAGCTATTAGAGTTCATTGTCAAGTTTCCATTATAAATTATTTTTATGGTGTATGACTCAAAAATCAGGGGAAGCATCTGATATCACTATGTTCAGAGCTCAGAGAGAATGCCTGTTGCTGGACCAGAGCCCTGCTAATGGTATGAGGGAGGTAAAACGGGACAACATGACAACAGGGGCAGCTTCAGCCCCTGGAAAACAAGGCAGGCTTTTAAGTCCTATTTCCCAATTGCAGACTGTTCAATGACACCAGAACATGGAGTGCATGGATGGGACATGAGGCAAGACATCCTAAAACCTGGTAATGTACAAAACCAAAACCCCATAGGACAGATCAGTATTTTTATATGTGAGAGAGAGAGACCTTACATATAGACAATAAATGCAAACGAGAAACTTGCACAGAAGAGATTCTGCAAGGTCCTCTCCCTTTTCTGATGTGACCAAGGAATGAGTGGTGCATTACCCATGAAGTCTGAAAGCAGAATGACTCACCTAATGCTGTCACCACCACACTGACTGGTGCAGATATCCTCTCCACCACCTTATGCCAGCTCCCGTTGTGCAGTGGTACCCAGACAGCTGCTTGGCAGAAGTAGTAGCCAGAGTCTTCAACATCCACATCACGCACCAACAGGCGATAGGAGTTCCTATCTACATGGCTCAGGCTGATGAGAGTTGAATCACTGACAATAGAATCATGGTCCATGCTCAGCAAAACCTGAGCATCTGACAGGGTATCATCAGGTGATGCAGAAAAATACCACATCACCTCCGCTTGGAAAATACCACTCCTGTCTGTTGTGATGTTGCATGTAAGATCCAGGGAGTCTCTTTCGGTCACAGACACATTGCTTGTTGAGATGACCACATCTAGAGCTTAGAAATGAAGAGACAAAAATTCAAACAAAAAGTTATTATTTTTTCTTTAAAAAAAAAAAAGTCTACTAAGTTATCTAGGACTTCACATTCTATTACAGAAGCTTCTGAAGTAGCTCAGTAGCCCTACATTCAAATGACTGTTTGATATGGAGCTGCATGATCTATTACAAGGGAAGTACGCATTGTCAGTCAAACAAGGGATGCGTGATGAGGGGGAGGGGATGGGGGAGGAGGAGAACACGGTTTTTACAACTCAACAGCAACTGGTCCATGAAGGCTTTGTCCCAATCACAGACTGCATGTCACCTTCACACAGCAGGAAAACCTGTGCAGGATTTTCCATTCTCATGGGAGGGTCAAGCTGGTTTGGGACTATCTCTCAGAAGAAAAAGTGTCCATTGAAATCACTAGGAAGTATATTAGAATTCAACTTTGGTTTCTGCTGAAATCGTTTTGAGCTCCTCAACAGAACAGCTTTAGATGAGAAGCCACCACAGACACACGTTGGAGTCCTGACTGACCTCAGGTATGTTGCAGAAACATGAAAATGGAAGCAAACAGAAGGCAGCAGTAACTCCTTATACTGCTGACTCCTCCATTTACTGCTCTGAGCAACACACACTGGGGACTTCAAAGTAAAGCCAATAGCCACTTAAAACACATTTAACAAACTCTTCCACTGGCCGGTGAATATTTTTAATACATATAGCACACGTGGTCATAGCCAGCATTCAAACAGGACCTTCTGCATTCTGTAGGTTACCAGGCTGGCCACAGCTTTATTAAAAGAAAGCCATGGGATGAAAAGTGTCAAGACCAGGAGTAGAAAAGCTGGCCTTAGTTACTTGTGAGACGTAAACCAGGGGTACTGCGTGTGTCATTTTTAAACCTCAGTGCATATCATTCACCAAGTTACCTTGTTACCACATGTCTGCACTTGCTCATTCCCTCATTCTACATTGCCTAAAGATTAGATTTGGATCTCAGTGCAGCACCATTCCCACAGTGTGTAACGCAGCTGCTTCTAAAATCTCAGCTGAGGCCAGCAGACAGGGCTGCAACGGCAGCAGCTCTTCTCAGCAGATCTATGACCAAGACCACAAGCAGGATTACAGATTCCTGCCTTAAACAGGCAACCATGTCTCTGGTGCAGATTAGTGACTTCTATGTAAAACCATGTTCTACTATATAATAGGTACCCATCTGTAAAAGCTTTCCAGGATTATCATATCAGGAATGAGACACAACATATAAAGGCCAGAGCCCAACTGAGCAACTACTACTATTGCCGATAAAACCAAGCAATGCTCATCTTACCACTTACCACTTGATAGCACAGAGCAGTCAAACTGAACAGAGGGTAGCAAGCCCCAGCCAAGTGGTAAAGCAAAGTCCCCTGTCTGATGAGTATCTCATTGGGACTGCCCTCACTGTTTTATCATGGGACTGGAATCAGTAGGAAAGCCTAGTTAATTTAACAGACTAATACCAGAATACAAAATAAGACTCATCTGCAAGGTTAAGAGCAGCATTTCTCCAAGAAATACTTCTGCCTTCATGAAATACTGACAGGTGTTCAGAATCTGGCAGTATATGCATACAGAGGGACTCAGAGTTTACCCCATGTGTATTCTCAATGCTCTGTTTTTGGTTACAGACATGTCTGAAGGCTTCGCTTAGGGTTATATACCTGTTGTGCAAGGCACTATTAAAAAAAGACATACAAGAACAAAGCAAAGCCCACAGATGTAATGATTTTAGGAGATGAAAGTGATGGGCAACAGAAAAAACACACACAGTTACATGTGCATGACTTTTTTCATTAGATATGGTAATTTATCTTTTGTTTTATTCTGGTTTTTTTTTTTAATTTTGTTTCTACAAATTCAGACCTACAGTTTATAGCAGCAGAGAATGAGGGAAGTGCACCAACCGGGCATACCATCATACAAGATCATTTTAGCATGCAAGTGTAGAGGTTTCTGATGCAAGCACAAGATAGTCTTCAAGTCCTACTACAGGATGTGTGGGTAAAAATTTCCACAATGTTTTGCTAGAGAATAACCTATCCCATTTAGTATAACTTTAGAGAAAGCCTTCATGCCCCTGACAAAGTGCCAATGCTACCAATGACTGAGCTAAAAATTAAGACCAAAAAATCCTAAACAAAAAAACAAACTACGAAGCCTACAAATAAACAAAACCACACACCCAAAACACATTAAAAAACTGCACTACTACTGGTCCTGGCCATTCTCATGCTGTTTTCAGCCACTCATTAAACCCCACCTACTTAAACCAAACTCTCCAAAAGTGCAACAAAAGAGAGAATTACAGCTCTTAATTAAGCAAACCCTGCCTCAGCAGAGAGCAACTGCAAGCTTTACTGTGTAACAGATACCCTGAAAAAAAAGAGGGGGCAGATTGATCCTGTCAAATTTCACAGGCTAAGCACCACCAGGATACTAAAACTACATCCAAATGAGCTAGCAAAAAAACCCCCAATAGTTCTGGGTTCTCCCCATAGTGATTAAAGGATTACAAAAATGAAAAGAAACCCTTACTGTCTGAACAATTCTAAAATATCTTGATAATCTCACATTTCTGAGGGACCATCATCACCTGTTTTTCCACCTATTGAGTGGCAATATGCATCGCTCCTGCTTTCCCTTCTCCAGCTAGCAGCAGTAATGCTAATGCAATTAAGTGCTTATTGCATCTACTCCTGAAACCTACATGGGCAGGGATATCTGGATATCCTCAGCACAGCACAGCACTATATGTATTTTTATCTCCTTAGTTCAAGCATGCAATGATGTGTTTAACACAACCATTACTGTCCTAGACCCCAGCCAACATTGCGGAGCAATCAGACCAGTGTCAGTGATAAAAATCACTGGATAATTTATCGTGTTAAATTATTGCTGCCTTCCTCCTTTCTCTTGATCTTTCTATGCTATTTTAATAACGTACAGAAAAGTTTCACATCTGTCACTGAATCACAAGCCATTTTTACAGGGGAAGTGCAATTGTTTAGTGCTATGGGACAACCCATGTTAATGGGAGAGCAGAGGGAAGGTGTGGGGTACTCTGGGGTTAAATACAATGTTTATTTAAGAAATATAAAAAACAGAAGCAATCTGAAGTGAACTAAGGATGAGATAAAAATCTAGGTCTAAGCATCTAAGAGTTCCAGTCAGCTTCCATGCCATCACCCTTCTCCTCAAAATAAAAGCTAGCAAAGTTATACCAAACGTTTTCTATCAGCTCAGATGTGAACAGGCCAGCTATCCAAACAGAACTCTAGGTTTCTGGAATGTATCCTCATTTGGTTCAGCTTACCCAATTTCTGCTCTCAAAGTATTACAGTCTGCAACTACAGTGCTGCTGTAGCTACAAGCTGTGACCCCAGCCCATCAGTAACACTCACCAGTCCTTTGGATTGCCATACTTGCTATCTCCACGCTCTTCTCCTGAATCTTCTGCCATGAGCTATCTGCTCCTCTCACCCACTCGCTCACAAGACACCTGTAGGCACCCCCATCCAGTGATGAGGCCTGGGATACAGATAACCGATATGTGTCATTTGCTCCTGTGTCCAAGCGGATATCTCCGTTACGGTAGCGCTCTTCATAGCCAGGACCTGTCTGGAATTTGCCCTCATGAGTCAAAGATAGGATGTCCCGCCAAGTCAATCCACTTTTGATCTGCCAAGTCACATGCAGGTGAGTGTGCTCCGGTGAGGTGGTAATTGCTGAGCAGCGCAACTTGAAGGAGTCACCCTCAGACAGCCTGAGAGACATTGAGGAACGTGCTTTTGAACCACTCACCAATAAGCCGTCGGAAATCACTATTAAAAAAAAAAGACCAAAAGACACAAGCATCATAAAATGGAAGAAAGAAGAGAACACCCACACTGACCTGTTCAGATAAGAGTCAGTAAAAACTACCACATGGTAGTTTGTTACCTGGCCAATCATTCCTTCTTCCACACAAATATATTCCAGGAACAAGGAAAATTCAGCTGAAAATCCATTAAAGGAAGTGCTCCCCTTTAAACAAGCCAAGACAAGCATTCAAATTCATTTATCCTTCCCCTCGCTTTAGTTTCTTATCCAAACATCATCATTCTGACTATTCCCATCCAAAACCATCTTGATTTTCATGAGAGTAAAAGGTAAAGACACTTGAAAAAAACCAGTCTCCCAAGCTCTACTGAAGAATCCTAAATGAGACCGCAAAGCTAGGGCATGACTGCAGTATCAACATGCTAAAGAGGAAAAGGAAGATTACCTCCTTCATATAGGAAGTTCTCCAAATGACACTATAAATAAGTCAGAAAAGACAGGCTGTGGTTTTTTACCTGAAGTTAGCCTCTCTACCCAGAGGCTTAGGGACATCAAATATTTGCAGATGTCTTCAGAAAACCTACTGCTTAGTTTTCCCATTTTTTATTTACATATTTACTAAACAGAAAAAAGGAAAGTGATATTTATAGTAAACAGCCTCTCTTTGCTTCTTTACCTCACTTGCCTTTGCTATCATACTTCCCAATTTTTGATTTTGGCATTAGGAGAATTAAACAGGAACAGGGAGGAGAAAAAAAAAAAAAAAAAAAAAAGAAAAATCACAATTCTCATAAGCAACAGAAATTCAATGTTCTTAAGGGTACATCTATAATGAATATCAAAAACAAATTTAGAGCACACCTCACTCTTCAGAAATACCTTTCACTTGGACCTCTGCATCATAATTTCCCTGAACAGTGGCATCAGTGCTGGGCGTGGAGCATTTGTATCTCCCTTGGTCAGCTGGCTGGATGTTTCTAATCACAAGTTCCACAGCATCGTTGCTGCTCCGTCTCAGTTTGATATCCCCGTGGTCCACGCGTTTTTGGTACTCCTCAGAAGTGAATGTGGAATCCCAGGTACTCACTATCCGCACAAAGTCAGTCTCTCGGGAGAACTCCCAGTCAAAGTTCTGTTCACTGGGTCCATCGTAGTCACTTACGCTGCAAGGGATCACCACCTCCGTGCCCCGTACGCGAATAAGAGGACCTTTGGGTACCCTCACAACACGCCCTCTGCAGAAGGCTAGGCAGCAGAATAAAGAGAGAGAGAACATACAGTTAACAAAAGGAATTACCAGGATAGAATTACACCCAAAAAAAAAAAAAAAAAAAAAAATAGAGTAAGGTTGGGCACCCCACTCTGTAGACACTGGAAGTAGTAAGAGCAGTATTTCTCATTAACATTTAATCTCACTGGAGCAGGAGCCCCTAAACACACCATTTTTAGTGTGGACAATCTTTTTTTCATTATTTAGTAACACGCTAGGTAACCAAATACTGAGGGAGAGAAAATTGTAAGGAGAAAAAAAAAGAACTAGTCACAGATCCAATGGGTAACAGTTTCTCTACAACACGCGAAGTGCTATGTAAGACACTTAAACAACATTAACAAGTGGTTTTTATTGCTACAGGGAGGGCATAACCTAATAATGCATTTTTGTAAGTCTTCTGCTGACATCAGTAGAGTGTTCGAAGTAGGAAACTAACTCTCCCCTAAGTTGAGGGCCATAAGAATGGTAAGTTAACTTTCTCCAAAAATGAGCATAGTCACTTCTGACCTGAAAGGTTGTGGCTCCTCTAACACAGGTGAGCTTCCATGCCTTCCTAATGGATTTAAAAGGAAGAACTGATTTCAACAGACACAATTTGCTTGAACAGATTTCTGCAACCACACCCATTTCCAGCACACACTTCCTCTTTGGTGGAAGTCCCAGAACATGGGAGCATGAGCAGACAAGGCTCCCTCCAGAGCAGAGAAACACACAGTGTTCAGAAAGTGTTTTCTGGGGCTGTCTCACTAGAAGGATAGAACAACAGCAGCAGTTCTCTGCAGAAGGCTGGCAAAGCAGTATGTTACGCTCCAGGCAAAAGTGTGAAGCACTTAGGCTAGCCAGAGAACCTGGCAAAGACACAGCAGACTTTTCTGGTTGATTTGGCTCTATAGCCCAAAGAATAACCCCAGCAGCTGCACAAGGATTTTGGCAGGTTCTTCCTTCCCAAAAGAGCAAACTGCTTTGATTCATAGTTTCAGTTTCAATCAGAGAAATCTTTTCAGAGAGAGGTACTACCTAAACTCAAGTCTCCAAATACGAACAGCCTACTGCATCCCACCAGCTCCATACCCTAGCAAAAATATTTTAGCAACCAGGTAGAACAGGAGATGCCAGAACACTGATCAACAGATCTTATTAAAACCAAGTAGCTGGCCGTAACAACATCAAAAGCAGTCAGACCAAAAGGTTGATCTGAGATACCATAGAGGCAAAACCAGATTTAAACAAACAACCCCCCAACACACAAAATCTACCAACCCACAACTGCTCTAATTCACCAGCTACATTGGGAAAGCCACCAGCTAGTGACAGGAACAGCAATATACTTGCTGAGCCTTTCCCTCCTATCACTCTGTATATCTTCTTGCTGTAGATTAAGACCTGACTTGCTGTCTCAGAACTACCATGCCAACAGGTATCCAGGTGCAGGAAAAGAAGTTAAGTCACATGGAGAGAAACCACCCACTGGGAAACCTGTTATAAAGTGCAGCTTGTCCTCTCCAGAGCAGCATGTAGGTGTTAAAGAATAAAGATTTCTGTGGGCATTTAAAAACTACACAAACAGCTGTACACACTGGGTATAACTACAAGATAAAAAGTGTATTTTTATCCCCAGTTACAGTTCAGCCAACAGTTGAACCAAGGGCTGACACTGACTTTACCTCCCTGGTTCACAACTCCCAGCACGCTCCTTGCTTTGCAGGCTGTTCACGTGTACAGGCTCAGTCGTAATAGTCCGATTTCCTCATTGCCATGACCTTCTGTATTCAACATTAGTACTTCATTAAACTTATTTGTAATGCAGACTGGGGTTAATCTCTTACCCCTTATATCCCTCCCAGAAGATGATTATTATGTACCTGACCAAGTGATTCACTAGTCCCAACACGGAGGCCGGACTTCTCTGCACCATTGACGTGTGAACCAGAGAGAAAAATGTCCAGTGCCGACGTATTGTTCCGCAACCAGGTGTCTTTAAGGACATCTCACTAAACACAAGCACCGCATACTAAAATCATTTATACAGAAAAACAACCAAGAAAAAAATAAAGCAAGCTGGAGGGCTCTGGTATATTTCCTTGCTAGATCTTAAGTTGCAGCCCCATTCAATCCTTCAACTTATCCTCTTACAGAAAGCGGTAACAGCAGCAGGTAAGCTTTAAAGCACTGCCTGACCGCCAAACCAGCTTCCAGCAGACCCCTGTGAGAAGTCAGCTCAGGATCCTGGCAGAGGGCACTCCTCAGACGCTGATGTCCCTCTAGAAAATACTCTCCTGTGACATTAAAACAAGCAGACAACGCTGTTCCGCATGTGTCTTCAGCTGCAGACCCACATACCGTGCACCACACTAATCCAATCTAGAGGTGACAAAGGCATGACTAATGTGGCAAGGACTGCACATTTGTGTTTCAGATTAGCACCGACAGCTCAGTTTCTCTTCTTCTAAGGTCACTAAAAAACCTTTGACACTAAACGAAGGTAGGGGGTGATTAGCACTTTCATAAAAGAAGGCAGGCCAAAGGGAAAGACAGGGGCACAGGGACTGCTCAACCGATCTGTTTGAAGTCCATACCCTATTGCTGTAAAGCAATGACTATCCCGTTCCTCACAGCACAGTCCCACAAACAATTCCAGTTTAACAAAAAGTTGGAAGGAGGGCAATGGAACAGGCTGCAGAAGAGAAAAGGGACAGCCTGTAACGGTTATAATTTTATACTTTACGACCAATAACATTTGTTACTGTTACGATACATCATGATTCTCGTAAGGCAGGAGCACAGAGACAGCATCTTGAGAGAATGAGAACTCACTGCAGAGCGTCTGCTGTGCCCACAGGTATGGAGGAGCATGCACAGGGCAGATGCTCCAAGGGTGAGCTGCATTTCCAGGTGACCCAGGAGGCTTGGTATGTAGCAAGCTGTGAATTCAGGGTTCTGCCTTTTGTCCTGCAGCAGTCAACAGCAAAAGTATCCCTAGCTACTAAGATGTTACATTCTTTGCTGTGGGTTAGGGATTAACATTTCATATAGCTGTAGCAGAAGGCACAGAGCTACAGATACTGATCTTGGCAAGAGGTGAGCTCCATTTTACTTTGTCAGATAAATGAGGAGCTTTTATAAATATTTTATTCTTACAGTGCCCTGCGTTACTTGCATACACCCCCTCCATCTTTGGAGAGCAATCAAAGTTCAGCTTTCATGACATGACAGCTTCAAACTCTAAATTTTTTGGAAACATTTCTTTTTCATGACACCTAATATATCTCACTGTTAATATAAGGTGGCATGTTCTTAGTGAATTCACTTGAATCCCATTTAACTGTAGAAACAGATGGAGCAGGACAGAATAGTGTATACACTAGTGACAGAAAACAACAGAACTTTGACAATCAGTGGTTTTCAGTATCACTGAGACCACCAAAGATGTGTATTTAGCAGGAACTCAGTAACTGGCTCTGTATTATAAACTGCAATGCTGGACATCAAACCTGCCTGAGCACAAGATTAATTGCCTAAATACAAAACTTTATTTTTACAGAGTTACCAGACCACCAGATGAAATTGCAAGGAACTATTTTCTAAAACAAAAGGTAATGGAGCCCCTTCAAGGAGGCCAGCACACAGACATAAGAGACAGGACTTGTTCCTTGAGGTCATGAGACAGGTGATAGGACTACCAAGCAACACTAGTGCTTTTGCAGGGCTCGGCCAGGAACACCCCAAAAAGCAGGGCAACCAAAGAGCCTTCATGGCTGTTTGTCAAGCACTTGATTAGAGGATTCTCCCAAGGGAACACATGAAATACTCCACTAGGAACACTGGCAAAGTTTGGCTCAAGGCAGAATAATAAATTGGGGCCTGCCATATTAATAATACAGAGGCATGATAGCCCAGATATAGCCTAGGCAGTTTTGAGCTAGTGTTTGTTCCCTAGCAATGGTTCATGAAGTACTTAAATTAATTTGTCCCATCACCTAGATGCACCATCTCATTGCTGTCATTAAATGAAATCCTTTCAAAGAGAACAAGGAAAGCAGATGACTGAATAGATAGGTTGTGAAGTCAATCTGAGTACATTAAATAGCAACCTGTCATTTCTAGCATAACCAAGAAAACGAGGCAGCAAAACTGTGCAGGATCTACGAAACAGGTGGTCTGTTTAAACTCTCAACAAGCTACACAGCTCCTCAAGGAAAGGGCTGGTGAAGATTTCCTCCTGCATTAGGGACACTGCAATGAGGAAAGTCTTCTAGGAGCTTCATCTTCACAGAGGTTTTGCATCTACATATCATTTATGCAATAACAAGATGAGAAGTAATCTGTGGAGTTGCTCACAAGGCTGAGAAGGTATTATCATTGCAAAGAACACACTTTTGCTTCAGGACTCTTACACAAGGTGCTTCCTCCAGCTTGTGCTAGACAGCTCGCTCTAATAAGAAAACATGTTCTCTTAGCAGCCCAGAGAAGGAGGTCAACTCTCTATGTCCGCCAGCCAAAGGAAAACACAATGTGACATGCAGTAGGAAGCCAATTAAAGCCAAAAAAGTAAGAGCTGAAGAATGAATAAATTGGCTCAGACTAAGCACTCGAGCCTCTGCATGAGAAAGACTTAGAACACACAGTCCAGCTCCTCAACCAAGGCAGTCACAGGAGATACAGCAACAACTTTGCTGATGCCTTTCATCTCAAAAGAGCATTCCAAACAAAAGGTTGTTTCATTTGCCAATTAATTATTACCATTTTCCTGGGAAGGAAATACAGCAGCCCATTCAAATTCACAACAGTTTATGACAGGAAAAAAACTCTGCGGCCAACTTTGCAAATGGTGGTAATGATTTTCCCTCCCTGAACTCCACCATTTATTTTCAATCTAGGCACCACTTTGCTGCAGCACTGTGTAAATGAGTGGGTTGAGTAGGGACAACCCTTCCTGTGCCACACTGAAGAATGAGCAATGGATTCCCCACCG